GTTGTCTTGGAGTGGCTGAGGGCTTTGGGTTCCCGAGGTTTTGGCCTCTCAGGGGATCGTCGCACCAGGGCTGCGGTTGAAGGGTTTCAGGGTTAAGGGCGGTTTAAGGGTTTAGGGTTTTTTAAAGGTTTTTAAAAGAGGTTTTAAGGGGTTTAGGTTTTAGGGTTATGGGTTTTTCAGGGGTTGTTGAGGGCTGTTGAAGGCTTTTAATGGTTTGCTAAGGGTTTTAAGGGTTTCAACTAAGGGTTTTTAAGGGTGTTTAAGGGATTTTTTTTACCCGGTTTTTCGAGACCGGCTAAGGGCTTTTTAAGTAAGGGCTAAGGGTTTGGGGCTGCGCCTTAAACCATTCGTGAACCCTTACTACCTACAAGCCCTGGGCCTGTAAGACCCTTGTCAGCCCCAAACCTCGAAAACCCCTAAATCCCGACAAATCTGGGTTCCCCCCCCCCCCCGGTTCCCCCCCTTTACTAGCCTTAATGAAGCTTAATCCCTAAATGGCCTTCATTATGGCGAGAGCCTTGGGGGGTAGTGTCCCTAAACCCTAAACCCTAAACCCTATTATAAGTAGTATAGAGGGGGGTAGAAAGGAAACCCATGATACAAAGTTCTGCACAGCCCTGTGCGCCCTAAACCCTAAACCCTAAACCCAACACCCTAAACCCTGAATTGTATGGATGGGAACCTGCCAGGTCGTCGTCGTTGCCGAAAATCTCATCGTCCACGTCATCATCCTGCCAAAGGCCGCAACGCAGGCTCAGGCGCTGGATAGTGTGTAGGGTTTAGGGTTTAGGGTTTCGGGTTTCGGGCTTAGGGTTTAGGGTTTAGGGTTTAGGGTTTACGGTTTAGGGTTTTAGGGTTTTAGGGTTTAGGGTTTAGGGTTTAGGGTTTAGGGTTTAGGGTTTAGGGTTTAGGGTTTAGGGTTTAGGGTTTAGGGTTTAGGGTTTAGGGTTTAGGGTTTACGGTTTAGGGTTTAGGGTTTACGGTTTAGGGTTTAGGGCCCCCAAAGCTGGAACCCTAAAACCACGAAGCCCTAAATCCTTAAAAACTTAAATCACTAGAACCCCGAAAATCCTAACATTTCCCAGACCCCGTCATTCTCTAACCCAGAAAACCTGAGCTTAGCCGCTAAAGTGCCTAAGCCCGAAACTCAAAACTTCTTGAAGCCCTCAACCACCACATCCCTAAACCCCCAAACCCCCAAACGCCCAAATCCCCCACAACCCGAAACGCTTTTTCCTAAACCCCAAACCCCCAAACCCCCTGCAACCCCAAACCCTTTTGCATCTGGCCTGCTGTGACTCTGCCAGGTGACCAATACTGACTACTCAACGCCTTAAGCGAGAAGGCCCTAAGCCCCAAACCCTAAACCCTCCAGCCCAAAACCCTACACTTGGGATGTTCCCCCTTATACTAACAGTCCTAAACAGGGATTATAATCATCCCTATGAAGGACTGTCAGTATAAGGCGGAACATTTCAACCCCACACCCTCAGCTTGGGGCTCGGTGGGGAGCAGCGTGCACCGGAGTATCCGGAGTAGGGTTTTAGGGCTTCCAAGCGTGGGTTCAGGGTCAGAAGTCTGAGTCAAGAGAACCCCTGGCCGCGCGCTGCCATGAACTTCTACCCCCTAAGCCCCTTTGAACCCTAAACCCGAAAACCCTATGAACACCAGAACTCCCAGTCTGTTTCTTTCACGTCTCTCTAAACCCTAAACCCTAAACCCTAAGCCGTAAACCCTAAACCCTAATTAAACCCTAAACCCTAAACCCTAAACCCCATGTTGTTCTTTCATGTCTGCCGGCGGTCGAGGCGTAGCGCCACCTCTGCATGGTCCGTCCAGGGGAATTGGTCGAAGAGGCACGCCGCCTGGACCCTGTGTCCCGGCAAGGCTTCGAGATCCTTTGCCAAAGACCTGGGGCTGGTTTAGGGTTTAGGGTTTAGGGTTCAGGGTTCAGGGTTTAGGGTTTAGGGTTTAAAGGTTTAAAGGTTTAAAGGTTTAAAGGTTTAAAGGTTTAAAGGTTTAAAGGTTTAAAGGTTTAAAGGTTTAAAGGTTTAAAGGTTTAAAGGTTTAAAGGTTTAAAGGTTTAAAGGTTTAGTTTAAAGGTTTAAAGGTTTAGTTTTTTAAAGGTTTAAAGGTTTAAAGGTTTAAAGGTTTAAAGGTTTAAAGGTTTAAAGGTTTAAAGGTTTAGGGTTCAGGGTTGAGGGTTTAGGGTTTAGGGTTTAGGGTTTCTCTGTGCGGACCCACCGCCCCGCTTCGGTCATGGGAGCCAGACAGTTACACAACCCAAGGCTCTTCAGCTAGTGTGGTCTATGCGTTGTACCCGTCTACCTTAATGTCCATACTCGACTCTGGGACCTACGTGCGCCTAAGTCCGGCCCGCCAGCGGCCAAGCGCCGAACAAAACCACAAAATGACGAGGCTGGAGCGGTGGAAAATTGGCAGGCAGGCACTGAAACCCCCGCGCTTTGAATCTCTATGTACGTAAATCGACTGTAACCTCTTACACCCTAAGCGGCATCTACATTCTACGTCTCTATATATCCCGGAACCGTGAACGACCTGATTGCTGCCTAACTACAATAAACATAATGCTCTAGTGTATCTGACTACCCTGCCCGCCTGCTGGAGCTGCTGGGAACTTCACCGGCATCGTCCCCTGGTTGCTTCCGCTTCTTCGGCGGATCAACGACGGGATAATGCCGGTAAAGCGCCCGCGTCTCCGGGTCCATCCACATCAGATACCTGTGGCAGGACCTCCGCTCTGCCAACGTCATCGCGCGGGTGCCCTCTTGCATATCCACTTGCAGAACCATCACGCCCCAGAAACCTTCGGGAGGCTCGCCCTCCAAAGCGGGCTTGGCGCGAGTCTCCCGAAAGAGCCAGTGTCGCGATGGCTCTGCTCGTGGGGGCCCTACACCCCAAAATTTGAGCTCACTGCACAGCTTCCCCTCCCGACATACGTCGCTCAGGGTCCACACAGCGTCTGCCTCCGCCGCATCGATGTACCTGGCCGCGTCCACCGGCCCCTGGCGCACCCCGCATTTATCGAAGACCTTAGAGATGGAGAGGGATAGGCGGGGAGAAAAAAACCTTCTAAGCTAGGCCCCTCCCGGGTACGTACTGCGACCACTCGTCGGTCCATGACGACCCAGTAAAGGCGTAGAGCTTTCCTCGCATAACACGGAAACCTAATCCCCGAGAACGCCTCCAAAAAAGAAAAAACAAACCAGCAAGAGAACCAAAATCCCACCACACGCCCCGCGTCCTGGGCAGCGGGGTGCGGGGTGCGCGTGGATCATCCTCGTACATGAGGTTCTTGTCAAGGAAGGGGCATTGCGCACGGGAGCGGGGCTCGACAAGCCTCGGCTCCAGATAGACACCCCTCCAACCCCAAAAAAGCCTTCGCCCTGTAGTTGCTTAAAACCCCACCCGACCCAATCACCCAAATAGATGTTCTTCCACCGAAAAAAAAAAACCCGTAACGTTCCACGCTGCCCTCCCAGCCCGGCGGCGTGGCACGGCAGGCCATTGTGTCTGCGGGGGGCAGAGACGAAGGAGAACGGAGAGCTCTGAGGGCTGGATGTAGGGCGCTGCGAAAAGAGAAAGAGAAAGAGAAAGAAAAAGAGAAAGAGAAAGAGAAAGAGAAAGAGAAAGAGAAAGAGAGAGAGAGAGAGAGAGAGAATACGACCTACTTCGTGCCCAAGACCTCCTTTACAAGAAGAAACCCAACACCAGGATGCCCGACAAATATTAAAGCCAAAAAAAGGAACGAACGAAAAAAAACAAGGCAGTCTGACATAATGACTTAAGGATGAAGGGTACTCCGTGACTTTGTAAGCCTTGCCTTTTCAGTCCGCCTAGCTATATGAAAAGGAAATAACGCGTGTTCGCTGAAGTCGACCCGGTCGTGAACGAATGCTTGCTCATACTAACAGAAAGAGTAGTCAATGTTTGTGAACACAACCCCAGACACACGCGTCTACCTCGTGCCGAGCACGTAACCCTGACAACACTTCTAAGTTCGCTGCTACACCGTCTCTATGACCCCTCACCAGAAACGATCTTGTTGACTTTCCTGGTGAAGGGGCTACCCGCCCCAAAGAGAAAACAATAAAGTAGATGACCAATAGTTGCTCGCCCACACACCTTCCTAATAAAAATTTAATTGCTTCAAATTGGGTCTTTTCCAGGCCGCCGCCCGTGTAATTTTAGTATTACTTACACTAAAAAATGCGTAGGAACGCGCTTGAAGCAATGCCAAACGACCAACAAAAATTTAACGATATTCATACCATAATGCTTTAAAATGAAACTCCTCTTTGGGGGCTCTTCCCCGCCCTACCCCGCCCACACCCCGCTCCGCCCCGCGGCGATTGCAGGGACGGCACGCCGCGCGACGATCGAAGCCGGCGCCACACACGACACGGCACAACCTCGAGCGGACCCTGCTGCTCCCCGTGCCCCACCAATACAGAAGTCGGCATCGCGCCTCGCGCGGCAGATGCTCCCGTCGCCTTGCGCGCCTCGCCGCCGGCACCGCGCCCCGCGCCTGGCGGAGGGGCTCCTCATGCTCCGGCCGGCCGGCCACTCCTGACGCCTTCGGCCGTCTAGCTGGAAACCCCCACGAGAAGGGCGGCTGGCGGACGTCGGTGTCACCGACAACAAAAAACGACGCCCAAGTCGAGGTAGCTAGGGCCGGCTGGGTGGGATAAGCTCTTCCACAAACACCCCCTCTTAAATCAGCATGTCTAGGGCATAGGGTTTAGGGTTTAGGGGTTTAGGGGTTTAGGGGTTTAGGGGTTTAGGGGTTTAGGGGTTTAGGGGTTTAGGGGTTTAGGGGTTTAGGGGTTTAGGGGTTTAGGGTTTAGGGTTTAGGGTTTAGGGTTTAGGGTGGGTAGCCCAGTAACAGTGTTGTCGTACAAGGCTCTACGTTTTAGGGCTAAGGGCTATGTGAATGAAGGGTACCCTTCTTGGGGTTGGTTACACTACTAAGGGTGCACCTAGTAGCAACAAAAAGTACCACTGGGCTCCAGCCTGGGGTTGCAGGAGACATAGATGAGGTGTTCGAAACTCTCCGCCATGGAGCGGCAGCGGTCATCCAGACCCGCGCGCGGAGGATCCACCAGCAACGTGGAGAAGTCGTAAGGCCCTGTCGGCTGAATGTGGCTCTCCAGGACGAGTCTCTCAGCACGACATCTGCGGAACTCCACGTTCTGGACCTCTGCTTTCTTCGCGCAGACTTCTGCCCCTCGTACTGCTGGCTTGTTGGTCTCCACAGCTAGCACCCGGCGGAAGTTGCTTGCAGCCGGCAAAGTGAAGTTCCCGTTTCCGCAATACCTTGGTAGCCCACTAATCTTCTCATAATAAGGGTATCCTTTGTGGGGTTGGTTACCGTTATATGGGTACCCAGAACGCGAGGGGGCACCACTCAGCTACCAAGCTAGGATGGCCACTAAACCCTCTGAGAAATGCTCCTAAATATGATATCCTCTTAAAACCCAACAAGGGGAAACATTAAATATCCCCAGAGTCTAGAAACCATAAACCCTAAACACCATACCACGATACGCTTCCAGAAGATCACGACCTTCTTCCCCAGCTGTTTTCTTGGCGACCCATGACTGCATCTCCTGATTCAGCCGGAGGTTGGTCTGGAAAAAGACATTTTCCATGAGCCACTGGGGATACACTTTGCCCTTGACCTCCTTAGCAGCGCAAAGTAACCAATAATACGGGTACCCCTTCCTAGGGGACGGGTACGAATTCTTAGGCGGGTTGGTGACGTTATAAGGGCTAAACCCTAAACCCTAAACCCTAAACCCTAAACCCTAAACCCTAAACCCTAAACCCTAAACCCTAAACCCTAAACCCTAAACCCTAAACCCTAAACCCTAACCCTAAACCCTCAACCCTAAACCAAGAGACATATAAACACAACACACAAATAAACGTGCAAAAGGGCACCGCCGTGCTTCCGAGCCTCGTTCTCCTGCACCAGGAAGCTGCGTCGGGCGGGCCAAGCCAAGCGCTGGCCCTTGGCCCGAAGCACCACGGCAGCATCCAAAGCAGCGGCGACCTCTGTGGCGGTTTAGGGTTTAGGGTTTAGGGTTTAGGGTTTAGGGCTTAGGGCTTAGGGCTTAGGGTTTAGGGCTTGAGGGCTTCAGGGCTTCAGGGCTTCTGGGCTCAGGGTTTTGCAGCAGCTTGCCAGCCTCTTGGGCTCGCAGCTCGTCGTCCTCCGAGAGCTTCCTGTGGTAGAGGATGCAGGCGAGGGCGTCCCCGTGGGTCGTCGAGAGGAGCTCAACCTGGAAGGCTTTCTCCCGGAGTTTCGGCCCTTTCCTAGCGTGGCCCCAAAGAATCCTAAATAGGGTTCAGGGTTTAGGGTTTATGTTAAAATCTATTCCTAAGTGTGATCCTCTTAAACCCAAAAACAGAAACTACTCCCAAGTGTAACCCTCTGAAGCCCAGAGAAAAGGGAAAAACATGAAATACATCCCAAGGCCCACCGAGTTTCGCAAACAAGCCAACCAGGTCCGACATGAGGCGGTTGATGCGCTGCGAAGCCAAAGGATAGGCGTCGACCGTTAGCCACTTCATGCTGCTGGGATCAAAAACGACGTAGTCTACCTAGGCCCAAAGGGAACCTAGGGTGCCCTTTTTGGTTTGACAAGGACGCCCATAAGAGAATCTAAGTACACCCCCACAAAAGGGAATAAGGGCCTACTCTGGGTCCTGGTTACGTGGTCGTCGGAATGCTGCAGCTCAAACTTCACACCTTAGTAGCCCAGTAACCATATTATGATAAGGGCACCCTTTTTTGGCTTTGGGGTTGGTTACTTTATTAGGGAACCCATAAACCAAAAAAAAGGTAAAGGGTACCACGGGGCTACTAAGACACTGTGTCGGTAGTGAAGCGGTTCGGGCGAAGCCACCACTTCCAACCCGTTCTCGACGCCGTCTTCCTCCAATCGCTTCGACAGAAGCTCTTCGACTGCCACTACCTTCCTCGGCCCAAGAGTAACCTGGGAATAACTTAGTTGCTGAGTTCATAAGCCCCCCAAAAGTGTACACTTTCAGTTCTATAGGGGATTATAGTATCCCAAAAAGCGTAAAGTGTGCTCACTCAGCTACTAAGATAAAGAGGGTGCCGCCCTTTGGCTTAAAGGGCGGTTTACAAGGGAGCCTTAAGACCCGAATAAATCACGGTCTTAAGGGCCCTCTTTGGGGAGTCCCAGCTTCTGAGAGAGCTCAGCTGGGTACGCAGCTGGGTCCGGAGCCGTGAGCGGCGGGCAGCGCGGGGGCGGCGCCTCCGCCCCAGCGGCGCGGCTGCGCCGCTGGCGCCGCCGGAAGCGGCGCATCTTCTTCCCTGGCCCTGGCGAGTCCTGCGAGGAGTCCCTGAACCCTAAGCCCTTTTTGGGCAACGAACTTTGAGGCTGCTGGCAAAGATGCAAACCCTATATACCCCAAAAACTAAACCCTAAACCCAAAGCCCTAAACCCTAAACCCTAAACTTGGCCCTAAACCCGAAACCCTAAAAACCCCTAAGGAGTCCACAGAGTCCACGGAATCCAGCTTCGAGGTCCGCTGAGTCGCGTGGCGGTGGTCAGCACGGCCAAGGCTCCGGCGCAGACGTCGTGGCTGCCGAGCACACCAGCATCCGCACGCAAGGAACGGAAGTGAGGCACGTGGGAGATGAGCCCCTCCCTGCCAAAAATCTGCGTCCGCGCGTGGGTGCGCGCGAAAGACGCCGCCGTCACCGCGGACGGAAGGCCCGGGTATCCGCTGCCATGCGCAGCCTGCAGTGCCTAGCGCCCATCCTCGTGCCATCGAAGCTGCGAAGTGGCACAAACTGTTTTAAACGCTAAACCCTAAACCCTAAACCCTAAACCCTAAACCCTAAACCCTAAACCCTACTTGTGTCTGTGTGCCCAACTTGCTGGGTTCAAGATGTTCGGATAGGCTATAGTCTCTATGGTTCGCCTGGCACTCATCATCTGCAAAGCACGCCCATAGCTTTAGGGCTGAGGGCTTCAGCAGCACTCGCACAAGGGCAGGGTCCAGGGTTTGGGGTTCTCTTTCGCACTTCGGGCTTCAAATCTTGAAGCTTCTGAACTCATAAGATCTCGATCTGGACTCGCATTAGTTTAAGCCCGAGAAGGCCTGACGCTACATTGCTCTACATGTAGCCTAAAGCTGCAGGCGGCTGCGAAGCCACCAGACACAGTCCCTAGCGCTGATCTCCATTCCCGTCCTTCTTGATCCACCGACTTGAAGGTTCATGGTACTTACTAACCAATTAAAACTGTACTTATAACCCTACTTATAATACCCCTAAAGGGCCTTATAAGGGTTATCCCTCTTATAAGTATGGTTATAAGCCCAGGTATAATTGGTTAGTAAGTACCATGAACCTTCAAGTAGCCACCGAGCGGGCCCCGGTGAGCCCAGAACCCCATAAGCAAGGAATGTACCTGTAAGTCTGCAAATCACTAAAAAGCTAAACCCTAAACCTTAAACCCTAAAACCCTAAAACCCTAAGCCCTAAACCCTAAACCCTAAACCCTAAACCGAATTAGCATTTTCCTTCATCATTTCAGGAACACTGCTTGCTTGGTCTCCCAGTCCACCCATATAAGAAGCCAAGCCCTCCTAGTCTTTGCTTAAGAACCCCCCTCCCCTCAACAAAAAGTCTTTTTTTACCCTCATAAGTAAGTAAGAATGTTTTTTCTATTCCTTATAAGAAGATCTCTAATCCTTATATATACCCCTTATGATGAAGGATATTTTCAATTTTGATAGGGGGGGTGTCTTAAGCCAACTCTGCCTTCGGGCGACACCGAAGAACCCACCGCCAGCCTCTCCCACAGCCTCCGCATCGGCATCCCCCTGCACTTGGAGGGTTTAGGTTTTAGGGTTTAGGGTTTATAGGGTTTAGGGTTTAGGGTTTAGGGTTTAGGGTTTCGGGTTGGGATGTTCCCCCTCATACTAACCGCTCCTTATAGCTCCTTCATAGGGATTACAATCGGGGGGGGGGGGGGGGGGGGGGTACTTTCATCCCTATTAAGGACTGTTAACATAGGGGGGAAACATCCCAAGATTCTGACTTCATGGAGTCGAGGGTTTGGGGTTTTAGGGTTGGGGTTTGGGGTTTGGGGTTTGGGGTTTGGGGTTTAGGGTTTAGGGTTTAGGGTTTAGGGTTGTTTAGGGTTTAGGGTTTAGGGTTTAGGGTTTAGGGTTTAGGGTTTAGGGTTTAGGGTTTGGGGTTTGGGGTTTGGGGTTTGGGGTTTTAGGGTTGGGGTTTGGGGTATAGGAGGGCTGAAAGGCCTAGGGTTCGACGGTTTTGGTCTCAGGTGCTTTAGGTTAGGGCGTTTAGGGTTTAGGGCTGCTTCGGGTTGGGGATGGGATACTGAGGGTTTGTGGGAAAATGAGCTGGTTCAGGGCCGGGGTGGGGGGGGACCCTTTTTGTGTTGGTTGAGGGTCGAGGGCTTAGGGTCAGGGAAACGAACTCTGAAAGGGAAAATGGGGAACCATTATTAGCGCGGCTCTAGTTGCAGCTTGCAGGACGGGCAGATCACGGCTCACATGTGCTGATGGCAAACACTGGACTGCCTTGCTTCCCTAACCCCAAACCTTGGGATGTTCCCCCTTATACTAACAGTCCTTAATCGGGATTATAGTACCCCCTTTTATATCTATTAAGGGGCTGCTAGTATAAGGGGGAACATCCCAACCCAAACCCTCAGCCCTCAACCCTCAACCCTGGACCCTAAACGCGGACCCTTGAAGGGCCTTGTTTTTCTCCTGCTGCTTGTCTCCTTCTTTCACCTCCTTCCCCTCCATCCTGGCAAGCAGGCATGTGATAGGCAGGCCGGCTTTGGGTTTCGGATTTGGGACTTAGAGTTTGGGGTTTAGGGTTTGGGATTGGGGGCTTCGGCCCTACACCCGCCACCCTCGCCCCCCCCCCCCCCCCCCCCCCCCCCCAAAAAAAAAAACAACAGAATTGCAGCTCAGGGGGCCCGAACTAAACAAAACAGCGTGAGGGACTCAAGGATTTTGCGTTGCTTTGACGGCGACTCCTACAAGTCGTCAGCGCCCCAGGAACCCAAAACCCTCAAACACCTGAAACCTCAAATCCTAAAACCCTAAACCCCTCAAACCCTAAACCCTAAACCCTCAAACCCTAAACCCTTTTGAGCCCGGCCCTAAACCCTAAACCCTGATCAAACTCTTGGGCGCGGGAAGGTGTTAAGAGAAATCCGCAGGGCGACTACCGGGCTCTTTTCGGGCCCCCCGAGAACTTGGGAGCCCAAGAACTGGATAGGGTTTAGGGTTTAATTAGGGTTTAGGGTTTAGGGTTTAGGGTTTAGGGTTTAGGGTTTAGGGTTTAGGGTTTAGGGTTTAGGGTTTAGGGTTTAGGGTTTAGGTTTAAGGTTTAAGGTTTAAGGTTTAAGGTTTAAGGTTGAAGGTTCAGGGTTTGGGGCTTGGGGTTTCAGGTAGGCACTACGCTTCGAACGCAGCAAAAGCAAGTATCGGCTGCACATTTCTGCAAAGGGCCATGCGTTGGCAGCACTGCTCTGGAGGAAGCAAGCAGATCAAGGATTCGGGGGTCGGGGGGTTTAGGGTTTAGGGTTTAGGGTTTAGGGTTTAGGGTTTAGGGTTTAGGGTTTAGGGTTTAGGGTTTAGGGGGAGTAGAGTCGACGGGAGTCTGCTACGAATTGCTTATTAAGAACCCCAAAATCGTAAAAAAAAAATCTTCCATAGAAGGTTATGATCTTCTGTTCTTTCGGGTTCTCAAAAAATTAGTAGTCTAGGGTTTAGGGTTTTTAGGTTTTAGGGTCTTGACATGGAAATTCACGCTGCATGGCCTGCATGTGTCCAGACTGCAGTGGTGCAAGTACCCTGCGTCCTACCTACTGGAGCAGTTGAGCGCTGTTGCTACAACCTTGAATTCGGGTGTGGAAGTTTTTTTTGGCAGAGGTCCTAGGAGTGTTTCCAGGGACTCTACCGCCTTCCGTCTTCACAACATGCTTGTGATAGCAGGCAGGGTTCCAGCTTCATGTCGCCCGCTGTTGCCCAGAAACCTAGGATTAAAAAGGGTGCCCTTTCTTGCTTAAGGGGGTTTATAAGGGAACCTAAACCCCAAAAAAAGGGAATAAGGGCACTACTGGTCATCCTAGCCCCTGTCACCCTCAGAATCAGAGAGGTATGTGGGCCTTTTGCTGGGGGACAGCTTGAACCGACGCCGCATTAGCCGAGCTATAACTTCTTTGCAGAAGTGACTGCAAGCAAATTGAATTTCTAGCACAAGATCGGGAGCGTCCTTGCTCCTTGTGCCACTTGCGGAGGCCAGCTGGGGCAAGCAGGTGTTGCAAGTGATGGCACTGCGCGGCACATGCACAGATGCCGATCCAGGGCTAACACTGCTTCCAAAATCACAGCAAAGAGTGCAGACGTGGGGGTTTTGCATATTCGCGGTACTTTCATGCTTCCTGCTTAACACACTCTTTTTTGCTCGTCTATTCTGGCTCGAAGCCCTTGCCCCTAAGCCGAAACCGTATGCCCCGATCAGTCCAAGTTCTTCGCGAAGAAGAGGAGGTCTTGGCCAATGATCTTGGGCTGATCGGACTCCTTCTCACCTGGGACGCCTCGGCAGACAGCGATGACGTTGGTTACGGGACGTGGGGCGTTGCTGGTCTTTGCTTTCTTTTCTTTTTTTTTTTTGGGGGGGGGGGGGGGGGGGGGGGGGGGGTAGGGTGGACAGGGTTTCGGGTTTGGGAATTTTCAACAGTCTTTCGGTGCTTGCAGAGCGAGCCCCTCCGAATTTCTTCGCCTCATAACATCCTTCTCGTGAAGGCCCAAACACACTTCTAAGAACCGCAAAGGGTACTCTGCCCCCCAAAATTGGGCTGCGAATCGTTTGCGGTCTGCCCTCCTCAAACTGAAACCGGACCCCCCAAAATCGGAAAGGGCTGAGCCTGCTGGCCATCTGCTGACTGACTTCTATGTAAGACCTTCATGTTAGGTTCTCTAACATATACTCCCTGGTCGAAGCGCGAGCTCCCTTGTAATGTTAACTTGCAAGGGACCATGGTGTCGGCCCGTAAAACCCCCCTAAACCACATGAAGGAAAGTTCCCTGGGCCTGCCTGGGCCTACCTGGAATACCTAAACCCCAACCCCCCCCCCCCCCCCCCCCCCCCCCCGCCTAAACCCTAAACCCTAAAGCCCCCCCTGGGCCCCGGCCGAAGCGGCGCAAGAGCGTCACGATCTCGTGATCGACCAGGGGGATTCCTGCCTGCTAAGGGTTTAGGGTTTAGGGTTTAGGGTCACCACCCGTTTCCCATGCACCTAAACCCTAAACCTCTGAAGAGGACTTGGCTCCGAGTTCTCATGAATCCTATCACCCGAATACCCTATTGCCCTACTATCACCCGAATACCCTATTGCCCTACTACCCTTTTCGGGTTTAGGGCTAGGGTGCTAATCCCTAAACCATATAACCCTAACCCTAAACCTCTAGACCCTAAACTAAACCCTAAAAATCCTAATACCCCGACTACCCCCAAAGACTAGGGGGCCTCGGACGCCAGCTACCCTAAACCCGAACCCCCAAACCTTACACCCCAAACTCTAAGCCCTAAGCCCTAAGCCCTAAGCCCTAACCCCTAAACCCTAAACCCTAAACCCTAAACCCCAAACCCTAAACCCCTACCCTCAACCCTAGG